ATTATTATTATTATTATTATTATTATTATATATATATATATATACTTTTTTGTCAGTGCATAATTCCATATACATCATTTTATAGTTTTGATGTCTTTATAATCATTCTAAAATGTAAAAAAAATGAGTACAAATAAACTTTCTGTGCACAGGTGTGTTGAAACATTGATTGGTACTGTACATATAAGTGTATATAATCTTAAAATATCATCAGACAAACTGATTGGCTGTATCTTTATGACATAATAAGCCAGTGTGTATGCATTGATTTTTACCATCTCCACTCTAAGAACCATCATCATCAGATAAGATTATTAAGAACTGATACAGACCATGTGGTAACTCCTGTTGGATGGGCAGATTCAGACCTAGAAAACTGCAGATACTGTGACTCTCCAGAGTCTCAGCCTTGCTTTAGAAAACCCAGCCAACTGAGTAAATAGAGTAATATTTTCTATTCTGTTTCACATTAACAACAGACATCAGTTTCTTAAGGGTAATATGTGGAAAATCAATGACTCAATCAACAGATAAGAACTGATGGTAACTGGTCAACTTGCGTCATCCTTGCCAAAGCAGCTCTATTAATGTGCATTTAATAAAATTAAAACAACTATTTTGGAGAACAATCTGCAACAACTTGGTATTAATGCTCATGATCAAGAGTCTTCAATCTAAATAAGACATCTGACAGTGTGAGTCACACAACAATCATTCTACACACAGTTGATATCGTCCATTCAGCCTTAAAAGGTCTGTGAAGGTTTGCTATTATATTAAAGCAGAGACTGACGTTTCATCACAGAGTGCCTTCATATTTAATGCATTTGTTCAGCTTGTTTGTGTCTTACCCCCATTTTGCCTACAGTTCTGGTATGTTTATATCTATGACTGACTGAATCAATTTAAAACAATGAACAGTTAAAATGATTATAAACACATGTGAAAATATATAGCAAGGACTATAGACCATGAAAAGATTTGCCATTTTTGTGTATAAAGAAGTTTTTTTTCCCCATTATTTATAAACTTTTCATATTTCCTCTGTGGTTATGATGTCAGTCAGAAGATACTTTGCATTTCCAGCTCATGCCTTGAGTCATTTTGAGGTGAGTCATTTTTCCCGCTGCACCACTACGCCAGGGCTAATGGTTCCCCCACCTGCTGAATCCCACTTTAACTCCTAATGAGATTAATAAACGATCTTGAATCTTGACCAAGACTGAACAATTGAAACAGGCAGACTACCATTACATAAAGGACCATAAAGGCCTTGTTTCTTCTGCAGTTATGATGTCAGTCAGAAGATACTTTGCATTTTCAGCTCATGCCTCAGTGCTCTGGGAGGGTTTATATTCCAGGAGGTTTAACACATCATGACTGACAGCTGCCCTTCATCACAACAGACTCCAAACAAACATGACTTTGATCAGCCTCAGCATCTTGCTCTTCATCCTCACTCATGGTAAAACAGAACAAGCTTGTCTTTTTGCAACACATTTATTGATGAACTGTGAATTTTTCTAAACATTTAGATGTCAGAAGATTCTCAGTCTGGTAATTTTGTATGTTAATTTAGTTCTTCATATGTTTTTATTTTGTATGTATTTTCAGAATCCAGAGGACAAGTGACTGTGACTCAGACTCAAGAGCTGATATCAGCTTCCTCAGGACAGACAGTCACTATAAACTGCAAAACCAGCAGCCCTGTGAAGACTGATGATAGCCATGGCCCCCGCATGGCCTGGTACCAGCAGAAACCTGGAGAAGCTCCTAAACTCTTGATATATTTAGCAAAAACCCGTTACTCTGGGATTTCATCTCAATTCACTGGCAGTGGATCTGGTACTGACTTCACTCTGACCATCAATGCAGTCCAGGCTGAAGATGCAGGTGATTATTACTGTCAGAGTGAACACTACATTAGTAGTAAATTTGTGTTCACACAGTGATACAGAGCCGTACAAAAACCTCCCTCAGTCAGACTGCACAGTGACTGCACTGCTGCAGCTGGGACTCACTGCAGGTGCTGAGGAGTGCTGTACCCTATGACACGCTCCCAGTGGCACTGAATCTATGCCAGCATGGAGCCAGTGATGGCGGTGGTTAATTGTTCCCGTTCCTGCCATCGGTGATTGGGTGCGCTGCTGTATAAAGGGGTGCTGTTCCCTTGAGAAGATGGCTGCGCTCTTCCATTAGTGATGGTCCGCCCAGTCACGTTCTGTCGTCATGACCGTTTGCTGC